TCCAGCAGGCTCAAGGTAGGCAATTTCACGCATCGGAGTGTATGCGTAACGGTAAAGTGTTTGAAGTATCTCTAGGATGTCGAAGGCGCTATATAAGGTGCGCGCGGACGAGCCTTCGATTGCCCGCGACAATGGAGATGTTGCATGTGTGAGGAATTTGCGATTTGCCTATTGATTCTTGTGTAAAAGTTTGCGAGAAACACGATGGTCCCACTGGTTTTCCCTGAAATCAACTCCCAAGCTCAAAAAAAGCTATCAAAGTGAGGCCAAAATGGAGGGGGTATCCCACGCTATCCTGAGAGTCCACCTCTACATCAAAACAAACTCTCCATGCAAAGATAGGGAGCAAATACATTGACAGGGCTGCCACTCTATTTGGGGACTCCAAAACTGAAAACACGGCAACCCTGCTGATGTATTCGCTCCCTATCTTTGCATGGAGAGTTTGTCTTGACGTAGAGGTGGACTCTCAGGGTAGCATGAGATATCCCCTCCATTTTGGCCTCAACTTGAGAGCTTTTTTTGAGCTTGGGAGAAGGATCAAAACAACGATGATGGAACTTGAGTGAGATAATTTGGTTGAAATTATTACGGAATAGGGCGTTAACTTTAACCGTGACGATGATACGACCCGGTTTTAATTATATCATCGCAAAACATGCTTTCCCATGTTACTGGGCTCCGCTCTCCGTATCCACCGACATCAATCTCCACAGTCATTCGCTTGTCCACTTTCATAATTTCAGGTCTGCCAACTCCGGGTTCCTCCATCCTGCGACAGCGTTGCGTGTAAAACATTTTAAACACTGAAAAAAAATTCTCGGCGTTTTTACCAAGGTCCGTTGGTACCTTTACCATCTCACTTTTTTACCAATTATTGGTAATTTTACCAAGACAGGCTGGTAAGCTCACCTAAAAACCGGTATTTTTACTGTTTTTTTTTTTCAGGTAAGAATACCACTTTTATCGGTAATCAATTCCCGGTAACTTTGCCATTTTATCTCGGTAATTCTACCACGTCGATAAAAACTATTGGCGTTTTTACCAAGGTCCAGTAAAATTACCGAGAAAGTTCAATAATTTTACCGAGATTCCTCGGTAAAATTACCAATTCCATAATCGGTAATTTTACCAAGAAAAAACTGGGATCAAATAGAACCCTGAATTCTTGGTAATACCCTTTTCTTAGTAAATATACCCATATTTTTTTTTTCAGTGAAGTTCGCACACAAAGCTGGCGCTACACGGAAAAATTTTTATTGCTGATTTAACGATTTAGTAGTTAAAAGAAGTGTCTGACATATTTCAATGTAGATTTTACACAATTAAAAAAATGCTAATTTAACCGGTGCTACTCGGAAAAAAATGTTATTGCTGATTTAGCAATTTTGTAGTTAAGAAAAGTGTCCGGCGTGTTTCATTGTAAATTTTACAATTTAAAAAATGCTACTTTAATAGCCCCCGTGGTTTAATTAGCTTTTCACTATTGTAAAATGTACATTTGAAACATGTTGGACATATGTTTTAACAATAAAATTGTTAAATCAGCAATCCATTTTTTCCAGGTAGTAAACTGAGAGAAGAACGTCGCATGAAAATGTAGGCGTTGCTAAATTCCTCTTGATGATATGCAGAATGTCCCAGATTAATATGCTTTTTTCTCGGGTTTTTTTGGTCAGATGTAGTCGAGGTTCAGGGTTGTAGGGACCGTCTATAACTTACGTAACGCTCTAGGCGTAGATGAGTCTTCATAATTTGTCGCTCCTTTGACATTAAGTCTTATCTTGATTTTCGTATGAGGCCCAAAAAGAACGGATTTACAAGTAAAATATAGCTCACGTAAAAATTGATATAGCTCTTACGTCAGGAGGGCGACGAATTTTGTGACCGTGCGTGACAAGGGGTGAGAGGGTGTGAAGGTCAGAAAGCCGTAAGTGGTACCTTCTGCATGATTTCGTGGTCGAGTTTTGGACGGACAAGAAACACATTTGAAAGTTAGAAATCGGCAAGAGAGGGCGGCACTTTATACTTGAAAGTGCTGATTTCATTGGCTCTCTTGAAGAACAATGTCACTTACTGCTGTCTTGCCTGAAACTACGTTATTTTTGCGCAATAATGTTACTTACTGCTGTCTTGCCTGAAACTACGTCATTATGCGCACTTACGGCTTTCACGTGTGTCTGTTTTTGTATAATTAAGATGAATTTTGCTGTATTATCTATTTCAGTGATTTCATCTAAAAGAGATTAGACAAATTTTGAAGGTGACTCGATTTCGAAAATTGACCGATACTGCTCTCCTCGCTACCACGACATAAATACACTGAAAAAAAAGTTCGGTAAATCCGAACTAGTTAGGATCATTGGAACCAGATTTTGTTCGGTACACACAACCGAATTATTCGGTCTGTTCAACCGAATTGTTCGGTTTGTGCGACCGAACCATAATAGATTCTTACAGTTCGGTTCAGTGGACCGAACAGTTCGGCTGAGCAAACCGAATAATTCGGTCGTGTGTACCGAACAAAATCGTGGTTCCATATGATCTTAACTAGTTCGGATTTACCGAACTTATTTTTCAGTGTACGACCCTAGGTATCAAAGAAAATACCTTCTGATCTATACATCTCGGCAACACAGCCTCAAATGCACTGTCCAGCGTGGAAAAAGCCGCAGTGAAAGTGTTCGCGTTCGCAATAGCGCATTCCGCGAGCGATTAAACGCGTTTTTTGCTCCGTTTGTTTGCAGTCCGCATGCGTGAACACAATGTCTTCCTCGTTCATCGCCCGTGAAAACAACAACACAAACACATCCGCGGTTCTCGCCCCGGTCATCTCTCTTTGAACGAGTTTTTTCCCTCGTTTTTTTTGCGGGAAATCCTCGCGTCCACCCACAACTTGAGCTTTTCCGAAACAATGGCCTAGTATCCTACTGTGCTCAGGAAAAGTAGATGCACAAACATTAGACGTTGCCAAATTTATTTTGATATATTGCGATTATTCATTAATCTTGGACATATTTCGTTACCTCTTGGCCAAAGTAATACGCCGCCAATTTCCACCGCCATTTTATTTATTTTGAACAGAGAAATTGTTCGACCAAGCTGTCCGAAAATTTCGCTGAATTTACTTTGTGCTGCCGATAAAATTCAGTGAAATTTTCATTAAGATTCAACCAACAATTTCTCTGTACAAAAAAATGGCGGCGAAAATTTGTAAACGTCACATGGCGCTTGTGATACACGGAGAAAAAAAACGTCGTGCATGGGACACGAAGTTAAGGTCATAATGGATCTGTAAAGTTTTCTGATCACGCATCCGAAAAACTTGAGGTCGAGCTGCCAAAGTTCGGATCAGACATCGAGGCACTTCGGTATGTGCCGGAGTACTTTAAATGTGTGACCCGAACCCTTCGGTATATATCGACGTACTTGGATGTCTGACCCGAACTTCGGCAGCTGGACCTCAAGATTTTAGATACGAGATCTGAAAACTTCAGAGATCCATATGACCTCAACTTCGGGTCCGCAGTTTTTTTTCCGTGTACTTTGGCCGAAAGATAACGATTTGTCTTCCTATGTTTCAGAGAGTTGTATTAACAATTTCATTTGAAGTAAAAAGAAATGATAGAGTGAATGATAGGGTGAATGATAGAGTAAATTATAGAGTAAATGATAGAGTGTAGAAATGATGAAGTACGTTAGTCATGGGAGTGGAAAGTGACATCGTATTCGATGTCATGACCAAACAGCTTGTCTGATATGGTCATGTTAACGAAGACGGAGGAAAGGCTGCCGAAGAAGATGCCTGATTGGATTCCTCCCGGGAGGAGACAAAAAGGACGCCCAGCGGGCGACAGGTGGTTTTTAGAGGAAATGAGGGAGTGCCAACTCCCTGAGGGACTTTGGGAGGATGGAGGACTTTGGCGGCTGGGTGTCGCAGAGCGCCAGAGATCGCTGGGAAAGCGACTTTTATGTAGGTATGTACATATACAGGAATATCTAGAAAAAATATGCATGAATTTTCTACAGGATAAATACATTAGAGTTTCGATTATCTGCGGTGATTAGAACCAGAGCTTTCACGGATATTCTAAATCCAAGCTTTTTAGCCTCGAAAAGAGGTCAACATGTAGAAATCTAAAATACTCTATATTATGGGAAAAATCATCAAATTCTAGAAATGTAAATTGTTTAAAGTCAATAAATTTTACATTCAAAGAAATAATTTTGCCAAAAATCATTTATTCCGTCACAAATTTCAGTGTTTCAGTGGTATCATAGTGACTTTAACACGCAAGAGAGCTACCGAAAAATCGCAGATGTCCGAATCATGCACAATCGAAACTCAACTGTATTTTATCGCAGATATTCGGCGACGATAGAATGTTCATACGGCTTTTTTCTTTAGCACGGTAGCATGGATCAGAGGCGTGACTGATGTATACCGTAAGTGGATCAGTTGGACAGTGTTCATCGGAATGGTATTCAGTACATAGACGTATGTTCTCAAAAACGACAATTTAACTGGAGAGATCAAAAGCAGATGCGTCGTTTTTTCAATTATTACCACATTCATTTCATTTTAATTACTTAACACATTCATAAAAGAACTTATCTGTATAACGAGCTAGGAAGCAGATGTGTCGTTTCTGAAACAAGTAAAAAAAAACACATTGGATCTAGAGTCCAGACTCTTGAAAACATTTACAAGAAAAAATACTCTTGATTCAATCGGATTTTCGCTTGAATCAAAACAAAATCCGCTTAAATTAAGAGGCTTGGTTCTTGATTTAAGCTAGATTCTGATTAAAACAAGAGTACTTTTTCTTGTGGATGTTTTTAAGAGTCTGGATTCTAGATCCAATGTGTTTTTTTTTTCCAGTGTATGTGTGACTATACCCGCAAGAAAATAGACCTTAGTCCAGGAGAGGGCACAATAATCACACTTCAAACTGCCTTCGCAATATTTCATGTGGTGAAAAGGAGGCTTGTTTTCTCACCTTGGGAATAATTTTTGGCAGTCTAACTCTCTCCATCCTCGCGTGGATTCTCGTATGAGATTTTCGAAGGCTCGCTCGACCGGGAACTCGCCCATCATGAGCCGCAGACCCAGGCTGAAACAAAACAGGTGCATGTTAGAGGAGTGTTCGGCATTTCAAAAAGAAACAACCTAAATGCAAATCAATTCGCAAAAGAGTGCTTACACAGCACTGGTAAAAAAAAACACATTGGATCTAGACTCTTGAAAACATTGACAAGAAAAAGGCCGCTCAAATTAAGAGGCTGGGTTCTTGATTTAAGCTTAGATCTGATTGAATCAAGAGCATTTTTTCTTGTCGATGTTTTTAAGAGTCTGGACTCTAAATCTAATGTGTTTTTTCCCCAGTGTGCTTACACAGGGAGAACATTACTGCCATGACAATGCTTTCAGTGTCGAAAAACTGTGTATAACTATCCACCTGCAAGTGTAGGTTCATGAAAGTCTTTACGGCCTCAGGCAGCGCTTTCATTCCGTTTTCGTCAAAAGTTCCGGAGATTCGGAACTTTTTGGTTCCAATGGAGATGTTACATGTGTGAGGAATTTGCGATTTGACTATTGATTCTTGTGTAAAAGTTCGCGAGAAACACGATGGTCCCACTGGTTTTCTCTTAAATCAACTCCCAAGCTCAAAAAAAGCTCTCAAGTTGAGGCCAAAATGGAGGGGATATAACACGCTATCCTGAGAGTCCACCTCTACATCAAGACAAACTCTCCATGCAAAGATAGGGAGCAAATACATTGACAGGGCTGCCACCTTATTTTGGGACTCCAAAACTGAAAACACGGCAACCCTGCTTATGTATTTTCTCCCTATCTTTGCATGGAGAGTTTGTCTTGATGTAGAGGTGGACTCTTAGAATAACGTGGGATATCCCCTCCATTTTGGCCTCAACTTGAGAGCTTTTTTTGAGCTTGGGAGTTGATTTCAGAGAAAACCAGTGGCACCATCGTGTTTCTCGCGAAATTTTACATAAGAATCAATAGTCAAATCGCAAATTCCTCACACATGCAACATCTCCTTTGTTTCTATAGAAATTTCTTAAAAATCAGAATAAAACGTTTTCAAAACAAACTAGTTTTTAGCGATTCGGGCATTTTTAACTCAGCTCAGTCACGCGCTTCGAGATCCCGATGTAAAACTTTTTTGAGGTCATTGGATTTGTAGAATCTTGATGAATATAGAACATTCGGCGAATTCGGAAGGGCTTGATAAATGGAGATGTTGCATGTGTGAGGAATTTGCGATTTGAGTGTTGACTCTAATGCAAAAGTTCGCGAGAAACACGATGGTCCCACTGGTTTTCTCTGGAATCATCTCCCATAAGCTCAAAAAAAGCTCTCAAGTTGAGGCCAAAACGGAGGGGATATCCCACGCTCCCTGAGAGTCCACCTCTACATCAAGACTAACTCTCCATGCAAAGATAGGGGGCAAATACATTAGCAGGGTTGCCGTGTTTTCAGTTTTGGAGTCCCCAAATAAAGTGGCAGCCCTGTCAATGTATTTGCTCCCTATCTTTGCATGGAGAGTTCGTCTTGATGTAGAGGTGGACTCTCAGGATAGCGTGGGATATCATCTCCATTTCGGCCTCAACTTGAGAGCTTTTTTTGAGCTTGGGAGTTGATTTCAGAGAAAACCAGTGTCACCATCGTGTGTCTCGCAAACTTTTACATTAGAATCAACAGTCAAATCGCAAATTCCTCACACATGCAACATCTTCATTTCTCCCACTCCATGACCGTCCAAAGTTCCAAGAGAATTCCGGAAAATGCAAACGATCCGGAACATTTCGGAATCACAAAAGTTCCGGGAAAAAATTCAGGAGAATCTCAATAGTCTTGGAAATCGGAACTAATTCCGGAAAATGGGAGCACTGACCTCAAGGCTTTCGTTTCGCAAACATACCAAAGTTTGTCAAACTTGCTTGGCTCATTACATCATCCGAAGCTCATCATCCACCCAGTAGGTACGATGACTGTTGCTCCCATAGAATTGTCCTCAAGGAAGTGTTGAATCCCGAAAGTAAAAGTTTCCACCTATCGCCAAGAGGCAGTAGAGGTAATTTTTCAAAAGAAGAAGAAAAAGAAAACCCCGGTTGGTCGGCAACCTTGCGGCAGGTCATCACTCATCTCTCACCACTCATCGCATCAGTGTATTTAGGCCTTTTTCCGGGCGGGAAGCAAATTCGGCGTGAAATTACTGCGGCCGAACAATTCCGATTCCGGTCGCACCTCCAACCCGCGTTGCCACATGGCCCTTAAAAAACACTTTTTTTATACGATTCATATGTGCGCCATGCGAGGTTTTTTTGCCAAATTTGGGGATGCCGCCCAAGATTAATTGGATGGCCCGCATCGAGTCCGTGCCCATACGGCTCGTCCTATCCTATCCGTGTCGTCGCACAGTGGATCAAGTCAATATGAGAGGTCGGACAAGAAATTTTTGACTAAAACTGAAAATGTTGATGTTTATTTTGTCACATTTTAAACATTTTAAATTTTAAGGGGTGCTCTTGGAAAAAAAAATTTACGAGGAAACCAATGGAACCACTTTTAGAACCTCAAAGTTTTTTATAAACGGAGTTATAAGCGTTTACAGTTTCCAAATTTTGTCCGACTTCCCCCATTCACTGGAACCCCGTGTGCGTCGGGGCGTTTACGAGATCGCACTCCTAATCGGAAACTGGAGTAGCTCCGGTCCGAATGGGAATGTCTGGAAACCCGACATGGATGTCCGGTAGATTGCTCCGAAGCCTAAGGAAGGACGCCGTAGCCGTGCTCCTATTCGTCCGTCAAAGTTCTATGATTCGGAACTTTCTTGTTCCAACTTCTCCCACTCCATGACCGTCAAAAGTTCTTTTTAAGATTTTTCTTCCGAGAGAGTTCCGTTAAATGCAAAAGATCCGGCACGTCCCGAAATTTCAAAAGTTCCAGGAAAAATTTGGGAAAATCTCGAAAGTTCCGAAATGTTGAACACGGTCATTGAATTAATTAATGGAATATGAGACACCCAGCAAAGAGAATAATCAGGTTGTATTCCTTGCCGGGACATAGCGTAAGAATGTGTTGTTTGAAAGTGTTTAAAGTCATACTTGATGTGACTTTCGTTGTGTCCCGGTAAAGGGCACACGTCACTCTCTTCGGGGCGTGTATATCAATCTTCAGTTCGCCTTCAATAATTGTGATGGCAATATGAGCCGCTTCAGAGTATGAACAGTTGCGCGCAATAGTTTTGTCACTTTAGCTCTATCCTCGCAAGGAACGAACAATATAAGCAGCTCTTCGTGGTAAAATTTTTACCGTAAAACTATGAACTATTTTATGTGAAGGAGGGATCATCATTCAATTTACGGTCGCGCCGGTGAGAATTAAAAAAATGTTTTATTTGCAGCCGTAAGGACATCGTGTCAGCCTATTTTCACGCGACCAATGAAAATCGGCACAGAAATGGCCGGCCATACTCTATCTAATAGGTACTCTAGAACTTTCGACCTCTGAGCCCGGAACGGACGTTATGTCTTTAAGGCCCGTAACTTTTTTTACTTACTCGCTCCCCTAGGGTAGAGAGGAAGTATTGTCATCCTCCAAGAAAAAAAAAAGTTTTAATTTCATCATTTCTAGACGTTTTAAGGTCCCAGGAGTCAAAATAACCATACTTGAAAAAATGTGTGTCCGTCCGTCCAACGTCCCCCAAATCTGTGTACAGCGATATCTCAGAATCTATCTGTTCGATTTGATTCAAAATTTACACAGAACACCATATCTATGGTCTCCTTATGCACGTCAAACGATTTTTTTTTCTGTGTGAATAATTCACAGAAACAACACAGCCGATGAGCAAATTGTTTTAATCATGAAGAAGTGCGTGCGAATGTCTGACAACGCGGGCCTCTCTCACTCCGGGAGTGAATGGATCTGTTACACTCGGAGTGAACTGTTCGCAACGCAGTCGGGTTCCGTCGAACGGTACAGATTTATTCAAAGAAAACTTGATTTTTTTTTATCCGCGCTCTGCGTCTCTTTTTGTGCGAAGTGCCGTCGCATTACCACCGGGCTTTGCGAAAAAAGCGAATCCTCCATGGGGAATTCCGCGTAGATACGCGGTGTTTGCTTAGCGCAGCCGAGTAACGGACCAATGCAGCGGACTGGCCGGCATTTCCACCGGCTGGATCTTCCTCCGTCCTGATGTTTGATGTTTGATGACTGATGTCTGTCGGGGGTCCGTTGGTGGTGTGCCCTGGATCGCACCTCACCGATGTTCAGCTATTTTCTTCGCGTTTCCGTTGCTGTCAATCACTCGATTAGGATAACCAGAGACAAATGGACTGATTTCACGGCTGTGTTACTAAGGATAGGAGCAAGAACCACTCTGAAAGAAAAAAAAAGTTATGGGCTGTAAAGACGTCCCGTCTGTTCCGGGCTCAGAGTTCGAAAGTTCCGGGTGCTGGAGCCGTGGCTTCAATGGGCCTGTTGCAAACTTTTGCTAGAGCAAAAATAAGAGTTGTTTCTTATAGATAATGCCTCAAAAATCACGATGAGCGCATCGGCAAAGTCTGAAATGCACTCATAACTTCACAGTCTGCGTAAGAAATTTGCGGTTTTTTGAGCTTCCCGCCTCAAAAGCGATACTACGGCACAGGTGAACATTTTGTAAGAGGAGTCGTTCCATCGTCGGCAATACTCATCATGGCCGACGTCAATCCGCCAAAACACGTGTGATGGGACGAGATAATACCTGAACTGGATTAGACCAGATAACAATCGGCGTGTTTTAACGTTCATGTTTTCCACGCCCGAATTGATTGACCTTGAACTCTCCTCGAATTACGCGCGGAACTGCGCGCAAGCGTCGGCCATGATGAATATTGCCGACGATGGAGCGACTCCTCTAACAAAATGTTCACTTGTGCCGTAGTATCGTTTTTGAAGCGGGAAGCTTAAAAAAACGCAAATTTCTTACGCAGATTGTGAAGTTATGAGTGCATTTCAGACTTTGCCGATGCGCTCATCGTGATTTCTGAGGCATTATCTATAAGAAACAACTCTTATTTATGCTCTAGCAAAAGTTTGCAACAG